ATTTCTAAATTCCTAATTCCCGGGAATTAGGAATTTAGGAATTTCGGCTACAGCCCAAGACTCCTAAATTCCTAATTCCAGGGGGCCGGAAACCCAGATGAATTAGAACTTCTGAAATTTCTTGAATTCCATAAATTCCTAAATTCCTAATTCCCGGAAATTAGGAATTTAGGAATTTCGGCTACAGGCCCAAAACTCCTAAATTCCTAAATTCCTAATTCCAGCGGGCCGGAAACCCAGAAGAATTAGAACTTCTGAAATTCCTTGAATTCCTTAAATTTCTAAATTCCTAATTCCCGGGAATTAGGAATTTAGGAATTTAGGAATTTCGGCTGAAGGCTAAAATTCCTAAATTCCTAAATTCCTAATTTCCGGGAATTTCCGGGAATTAGGAATTTAGGAATTTAAGGAATTCAAGGAATTTCAGAAGTTTTAATTCCTCTGGGTTTCCGGCCCGCTGGAATTAGCAATTTAGGAATTTAGGAATTTCAGCTACAGCCCAAAACTCTTAAATTTCTAAATTCCTAATTCCCGGGAATCCGCCGAGGCCTCGGGCCGGAGGTGTATAGGTTGTCAGAACAGGCACCCCCCTCCAAATCCTCCCCCCACACCCAAAACCCCTTTTCGGACCCCTTTTTTTGGCCTCAAATGGGTACCCCCCCTGGGAAACCGGGGTCCGCAAGCGGACGGTTCGCCAGGACCAGAGGCAGTAGAAGCCCCTCCCAGCAGGGCCCCCCCCGCCCGTTTCCCCCCCCCCCCCCCCCCCTACCCCCCCCCCCCACCCCCCCCCCCTACCCCCCCCCCTACCCCCCCCCCCCACCCCACCTGCCCCCATCCTTCCCCCCACCCTGCCGAAGAGTCGCCTTAAACCTTAAGGGGCCTGCTCAACCCTACGATCACTCCAAGCCGAACCCTAAACCCAAAAAAACCCTCAACCCCAAAGCGTGAACCTTGAGCCTTAAACTAACCCTCAACCCCAAACCCCAAACCATAAATCATAAACCGGAACCCTCAACCCTCAACCCTCAACCCTCAACCCAACCCTTATTGCTTGGGGTCCAGCGACTTGGGCGCTGCGGAATCACCATGCTCACGCGGATGCGCTGGGCCGGGCCGAGGCGGGTCGCGTAGCGTTAAAATTAGGAATTTAGGAATTTAGGAATTTCGGCTACAGGCCAAAACTCCTAAATTCCTAAATTCCTAATTCCAGCGGGCCGGAAACCCAGAGGAAGTAGAACTTCTGAAATTCCTTGAATTCCTGAAATTTCTAAATTCCTAATTCCAGCGGGCCGGAAACCCAGAAGAATTACAACTCTTGAAATTCCTTGAATTCCTTAAATTCCTAAATTCCTAATTCCCGGGAATTAGGAATTTAGGAATTTAGGAGTTTCGGCTACAGGCCCAAAACTCCTAAATTCCTAAATTCCTAATTCCAGGGGGCCGGAAACCCAGAAGAATTAGAACTTCTGAAATTCCTTGAATTCCTTAAATTTCTAAATTACTAATTCCCGGGAATTAGGAATTTAAGAATTTAGGAATTTCGGCTGAAGGCTAAAATTCCTAAATTCCTGATTTCCGGGAATTAGGAATTTAGGAATTTAAGGAGTTCAAGGAATTTCAGAAGTTTTAATTCCTCTGGGTTTCCGGCCCGCTGGAATTAGCAATTTAGGAATTTAGGAATTTCAGCTACAGCACAAAACTCATAAATTTCTAAATTCCTAATTCCCGGGAATTAGGAATTTAGGAATTTCGGCTACAGCCCAAAACTCCTAAATTCCTAATTCCAGGGGGCCGGAAACCCAGATGAATTAGAACTTCTGAAATTTCTTGAATTCCATAAATTCCTAAATTCCTAATTCCCGGAAATTAGGAATTTAGGAATTTCGGCTACAGGCCCAAAACTCCTAAATTCCTAAATTCCTAATTCCAGCGGGCCGGAAACCCAGAAGAATTAGAACTTCTGAAATTCCTTGAATTCCTTAAATTTCTAAATTCCTAATTCCCGGGAATTAGGAATTTAGGAATTTAGGAATTTCGGCTGAAGGCTAAAATTCCTAAATTCCTAAATTCCTAATTTCCGGGAATTTCCGGGAATTAGGAATTTAGGAATTTAAGGAATTCAAGGAATTTCAGAAGTTTTAATTCCTCTGGGTTTCCGGCCCGCTGGAATTAGCAATTTAGGAATTTAGGAATTTCAGCTACAGCCCAAAACTCTTAAATTTCTAAATTCCTAATTCCCGGGAATTAGGAATTTAGGAATTTAGGAATTTCGGCTACAGGCCAAAACTCCTAAATTCCTAAATTCCTAATTCCAGCGGGCCGGAAACCCAGAGGAAGTAGAACTTCTGAAATTCCTTGAATTCCTGAAATTTCTAAATTCCTAATTCCAGCGGGCCGGAAACCCAGAAGAATTACAACTCTTGAAATTCCTTGAATTCCTTAAATTCCTAAATTCCTAATTCCCGGGAATTAGGAATTTAGGAATTTAGGAGTTTCGGCTACAGGCCCAAAACTCCTAAATTCCTAAATTCCTAATTCCAGGGGGCCGGAAACCCAGAAGAATTAGAACTTCTGAAATTCCTTGAATTCCTTAAATTTCTAAATTACTAATTCCCGGGAATTAGGGATTTAAGAATTTAGGAATTTCGGCTGAAGGCTAAAATTCCTAAATTCCTGATTTCCGGGAATTAGGAATTTAGGAATTTAAGGAATTCAAGGAATTTCAGAAGTTTTAATTCCTCTGGGTTTCCGGCCCGCTGGCATTAGCAATTTAAGAATTTAGGAATTTCACCTACAGCCCAAAACTCATAAATTTCTAAATTCCTAATTCCCGGGAATTAGGAATTTAGGAATTTCGGCTACAGCCCAAAACTCCTAAATTCCTAAATTCCTAATTCCAGCGGGCCGGAAACCCAGAAGAATTAGAACTTCTGAAATTTCTTGAATTCCTTAAATTCCTAAATTCCTAATTCCCGGGAATTAAGAATTTAGGAATATCGGCTCAAGGCCAAAACTCCTAAATTCCTAAATTCCTAATTCCCGGGAAGTAAGAATTTAGAAATTTAAGGAATTCAAGGAATTTCAGAAGTTCTAATTCCTTTGGGTTTCCGGCCCGCTGGAGTTAGGAATTTAGGAATTTAGGAATTTCGGCTGAAGGCTAAAATTCCTAAATTCCTAAATTCCTAATTCCCAGGAATTAGGAATTTAGGAATTTAAGGAATTCAAGGAATTTTAGAAGTTCTAATTCCTCTGGGTTTCCGGCCCACTGGAATTAGGAATTTAGGAATTTATGATTTTCGGCCTTTAGCCGAAACTCCTAAATTCCTAAATGCCTAATTTCCGGGAATTAGGAATTTAGGAACTTAAGGAATTCAAAGAATTTCAGTTCTAATTCCTCTGGGTTTCTGGCCTGCTTTCCTTAAATTCTTAAATTCCTAATTCCTGGGAATTATGAATTCAGGGATTTAGGAATTTAGGCCAAAACTCCTAAATTCCTAATTTCCTAATTTCCGGGAATTAGGAATTTAGGAATTCAAGGAATTCAAGGAATTCAAGGAATTTCAGAAGTTCTAATTCCTCTGGGTTTCTGGCCCGCTGGAATTAAGAATTTAGGAATTTAAGAATGTCGGCTACAGGCCAAAACTCCTAAATTCCTAAATTCCTAATTCCCGGAAATTAGGAATTTTGGAATTTAGGAATTTCGGCTACAGCCCAAAACTCCTAAATTCCTAAATTCCTAATGCCAGCGGGCCGGAAACCCAGAGGAATTAGAACCTCTGAAATTCCTTGAACTCCTTAAATTCCTACATTCCTAATTCCCGGGAATTAGGAATTTAGAAATTTAAGGGATTCAAGGAATTTCAGAAGTTCTAATTCCTCTGGGTTTCTGGCCCACTGGAATTAGGAATTGAGGAATTTAGGAGTTTTTGCCTTAAGCCGAAATACCTAAATTCCTAATTCCCGGGAATTAGGAATTGAGGAATTTAGGAATTCAGGCCTTAAGCCGAAACTCCTAAATTCCTCAATTCCTAATTCCGGGGAATCAGGAATTTAGGAATTTAGGAAGTCGGGCCTTAAGCCGAAACTCCTAAATTCATTAATTCCTAATTTCCAGGAATTGGAAGTTAGGAGTTTCGGCTTAAGGCCTGAATTCCTAAATTTCTAATTCTTTTTCTTGGAGTAAGGAGGCAAGGACAAAGGTCAAATGATACGTAAAGGTTCCTCTTACATATATATATATATATATATACATATGTACATGTATACAGGCAGCGTATGTGGCACAACTAGAACGTAGCGGCCATTGTGGTATTTATTTTTCATAACAAGTGGCCTGATAGCTTCAACAGTATGTTCACTAACATAGACGTATACAAAATGCTCCTCAGAATATTGTTTCCGGCAGTACATACTGGTGCCCCTCATACCTGGCGGGTCCACAAGGAACCCGCGGAAAAGTATGGCCCCACCAGCAAACATGAGGTGCAGGACTTAGGTCACATCTTTTACATCCAGCCATTTCTGCCAAGAAGGTTTAACCTTCTCGGAACCCATTTGACCATCGATACCATGAACGTCATCATGCTTGGGCAGCACGGAGTAGACCATGGACACCATCATGGTTGGACCATGGATGCTCTCTTCTACCTATGGTGAAGAAACATGTGATTTAGACCCAGGGCTGGGCAGAAGCGGATGCATGCAAAAGGGGCCTTAGTTTCGCGCGTGACGAAAGAGTGAAGCGTGCAGAAAACGAATACCAGTGTAGTTTACAAATGCCCAAAAAACACGGGAGATGTTAACAAAAATTGTGGGGCAAGGCAACAGTGGTATTTGCAGGGGAGTTTGAACCAGGTAAAGCAGAACTGTGTAAAAAATGTGGGTTCCTTATGGACACGCCTAGCCCTAATATTAGACTGTGCCAGCAGTTTTTTTCATATTTTTTTGTGATTTGGAGAAGACTATTGTGACCAACACGAGCTCAGCGAAACCAGGTCAGCATGGCCCATGCAGGGGACCGGTTGGAACTGGAGCGAGCCTTCTCTGGCGCCACAGTGCACGACATGTTTAACATGCTCGCAGTCCTGACTTTGCTTCCTGTGGAACTGATCATCGCTGCTATCTCCGGAGAGGGAGGCCTGCTGTACTGGATCTCCAAAGGATTGACGGATGCCGTCATGGGAGATTCAGAGAACGACTTGACCTTTCCTTCTCCAACTAAGGAGATTGTGGGCCCCTTCTCCAAGCTGTTCCTGAACAAGGACAAAAACACCATCAAAGCCTTGTCCTTTGGCGCACCTATGGCTCAGAGCTGTGGCGCGGGCTGCACAAAGTACTGTGTGAGCTCAGATGTGAGCAAGGCCTGGCAGAAGGTTGCAGAAGATGCCTATGCATCCACCCTGACGGCGTGCACTGGCGCTGTTACATGCGATTCGGGCACTTGCTACACAAATGCTGGGGACTTTTACACAAACAACATCGAGACGGGAAGGACCATCAAGGGTGGCTTCCTGAAAGACGTTGGTGATGTTGGAGGTGGCATCATTGGACTCATCCTGTCGTTGATTGTGCTTTGCGCAGCCCTGTTCTGCCTGGTTAAGCTTTTGCACAGCCTTGTGATGGGCCAGGCCAAAAAGATCATCATGAAGGGCACCAACATGAACGACTACTTGGCCATCTTGGTGGGTCTGGCAATCACCATCCTCGTGCAGTCGAGCTCCGTCACAACGTCGGCTTTGACTCCCTTGGTTGGCATTGGAGTTCTGCCCGTTCACAAGATGCTGCCCATGACGCTGGGAGCAAACATTGGTACGACCATTACCTCCATCCTTGCAGGCAGGGTCCAAACTGGGGAGTGTATGGAAATAGGCTGCGGATGTAGTTTTTGAGATAGCCACAGCAATGTTTGTTGGGATTTGCACACGGGGCATGTTCGAAGCGGTTGACCGGCTTTGTAGAAGCTCGGTTCTTTAGTTGAGCAACCCAGTGGTCCTGAAACAATCGGACGGCGCAGTGGATTGTTAAAGCACGTCTCTTCTAAACGCTGCCAGAGCTTGTCCTCTTGTCCTCCCGCAGGGCTGGCCGTCATGAAGAAGAGCAGCATCCAGATTGCTTTCTGCCACCTGCTGTTCAACCTCGTTGGTATTTTGATTTGGTTCCCTGTCCCCATCATGCGCAGGGTGGTTGTCCGGGCTGCTTGCACCTTGGGCTTCTATGCCTCCTACTGGCGCCTGGTTCCGCTCATCTACATCCTGGTGATGTTCGTGGCAGTGCCGGGCGTTTGCTTGCTGATTTCCCTGCTCTATGGTTCCAGTGTTGCTGGCGGTGTGGTTCTCACTATCCTTGCCGTGGCGGTTGTGGCGGCCTTTATCTACTGGTGGAACTTCATGGGCGGCTGCTACAAGGTGGTCAGCAAGGAAGAGCGTGACGCCCGCCAAGCCGAGATCGAGACAGAGATGGGTGATGCACCAAAGGAAGAACCAGCAGCTGAAGCCGCTGTTTGAGCCGATGGCTTACCAGTGACTGATCCTTGATGGCCCGCGGCTCGCGCAGAGAAAGTCTCGCGCGAGAGTTGGCAGCTGTGCACACCTCTGGAATTGACTGCTAATCGATGCTCTAAGCTAGCAGAAGGGAGCAGCTCCTCCACACACAAGAAAACCTGAATTAGTAGTCGATTCCATTTGAGCTTCGAGAATTCATTGGTAGTGGCAGTAGGTTGCTTGTGCGTTGAGCCGCCAAGCAGAAAACCCAGTCAGCGTCGTGACGCCCGCCAAGTCCAGATCGAGGCAGAGATGGGTGATGCACCAAACGAAGAACCAGCAGCAGAAACTGCTGTTTGAGTCGAGAGTTTGCCGATGACTGTTCCTTGTTGGCTCGTGGACTCGTGGCTCGCGCAGAGAAAGTCTCGCGCGGCGAGTTGGCAGCTGTTCAAGCCTCTGGAATTGACGACTACTCCAGTCTTTCTGCTAGCCATTGCTGCAAAGGTTGCAGAAGGGAACAGAATTAGTAGTCGATTCCATCCGAGCTTCAGATTCAAGATTTCATTGAGAGTGGCAGCAGGTTGCTTGAGCGTTGAACCGCCAAGCAGAAAACCCAGTCAGCATCGCCACTCTACTGTTTTAGGTCCCTTGAATTTTAATGCCTGCTGGATTTTGAATTGGCTAACAGCCTACAGCAACGGACCTTTACCCCTGAAGGGAATGGGCGTTGCACGTCTGAAGCAGGCTTGTGCTGGCTACAGGCGATCAAGCAAACAATGTAGAATAGTTAAGGGTGCCAGCCCAACGCATACAGTTCTTGTGCTTGTTTCCGATGGCTGCTGTTACTGGCTTCTACTGCGCATGCTGAGCCCTTTGAGATCTCGTCCGGTCGTCCGATCCGTTCAATGCACATCGGCCGAAACCTGTGTTGGGGTTTGGTTGCCCTGGCCGCTCAGGACTTCCGTCCCCGCCGTTTGTCTCCACAAGATCCGCATTGGGCTGGGATCTCAGACGGAGAAGACCATCACGTCCATTCATTCCAATCCCTCGAGAGGTGGCTTAGGGAGGCGCATCGAAGGACGACCCACATCGAGCCGAGCATTCATCGTTGCTGGTTTAGTTGCAGGATTCGGGGCTTGTATGTTTCCCAGGCTTCAACACCTCGAAACCCCAGCTCGAACACACATGGCCATGCAGCAGCAATGCCACATGCTCAGGTTTTTGAAGCCTTGTATTGTAAGGCCTAAGGCAGCTCGCATCACACGTTGCCAGGTCGCAGCAGGTCCCGAAGACACGTGGCTGGGGTCCAACATCTCAGGACTCGACAGGGGGGTAGCTTCAGTGGACCAATGGCATGATCATGGCCATGGTTGGTGGGACCTGACATGTCCTGATCTTTCTTGTAGCGTTTTGGGCTCGTTTTTGCCAGTAAGCTCCGCTCGCCGCCGCAAAGGATCCTTAAGCTCGCTATGGCTGAAGAAAAGGAGCAGAGTGCTGGGATGTTTGCTCTGATGGTGACCTTGAAGATCGTTGGAGTCCTCATCGCCCTGTACTTTTTCCTCTTCGGTCTCGACCTTATGGGTGGCTCCTTCAGTGCTCTGGGCAGCAAAGGAGCCGGAAACTTGTTCACCTTCTCTGACAATCCTATTGCTGGCCTCATGGTGGGCATCCTGGCTACTGTCCTGGTGCAATCCTCGTCAACAAGCACAAGCATCGTGGTTGGTTTGGTTGGGGCTGATGTGTTGGCAGTCAGGTATGCGATCCCTATCATCATGGGTGCCAACATAGGCACTTCCGTGACGAACACTATTGTCACTTGGTTTGTTTCTGTCAGATGTCGGGATGGATCCTAAAGATTTGCCCCAACCTCATTTATTCTGTAAGTACAGATGCTCACCGCCCCTTTCATGCCATACCTGCGAGGCGATGTATATTGAAGAAATACAAATGTCGATACCGTCAAGATAATTGAAGGTGCCCCTTATCATTCAGGGATGGTGCCAGCAGTTTGCATGTATCCGTTTAGTTTTTTGTGATTTGGAGAAGACTATTGTGACCAGAACGATCTCAGCGAAACCAGGTCAGCATGGCCCATGCAGGGGACCGGTTGGAACTGGAGCGGGCCTTCTCTGGCGCCACAGTGCACGACATGTTTAACATGCTCGCAGTCCTGACTTTGCTTCCTGTGGAACTGATCATCGCTGCTATCTCCGGAGAGGGAGGCCTGCTGTACTGGATCTCCAAAGGATTGACGGATGCCGTCATGGGAGATTCAGAGAACGACTTGACCTTTCCTTCTCCAACTAAAGAGATTGTGGGCCCCTTCTCCAAGCTGTTCCTGAACAAGGACAAAAACACCATCAAAGCCTTGTCCTTTGGCGCACCTACGGCTCAGAGCTGTGGCGCGGGCTGCACAAAATACTGTGTGAGCTCAGATGTGAGCAAGGCCTGGCAGAAGGTTGCAGAAGATGCCTACGCATCCACCCTGACGGCGTGCACTGGCGCTGTAACTTGCGATTCGGGCACTTGCTACACAAATGCTGGGGACTTTTACACAAACAACATCGAGACGGGAAGGACCATCAAGGGTGGCTTCCTGAAAGACGTTGGTGACGTTGGAGGTGGCATCATTGGACTCATCCTGTCGTTGATTGTGCTTTGCGCAGCCCTGTTCTGCCTGGTTAAGCTTTTGCACAGCCTTGTGATGGGCCAGGCCAAAAAGATCATCATGAAGGGCACCAACATGAACGACTACTTGGCCATCTTGGTGGGTCTGGCAATCACCATCCTCGTGCAGTCGAGCTCCGTCACAACGTCGGCTTTGACTCCCTTGGTTGGCATTGGAGTTCTGCCCGTTCACAAGATGCTGCCCATGACGCTGGGAGCAAACATTGGTACGACCATTACCTCCATCCTTGCAGGCAGGGTCCAAACTGGGGAGTGTATCGAAATAGGCTGCGGATGTAGTTTTTGAGATAGCCACAGCAATGTTTGTTGGGATTTGCACACGGGGCATGTTCGAAGCGGTTGACCGGCTTTGTAGAAGCTCGGTTCTTTAGTTGAAAAACCCAGTGGTCCTGAAACAATCGGACGGCGCAGTGGATTGTTAAAGCACGTCTCTTCTAAACGCTGCCAGAGCTTGTCCTCTTGTCCTCCCGCAGGGCTGGCCGTCATGAAGAAGAGCAGCATCCAGATTGCTTTCTGCCACCTGCTGTTCAACCTCGTTGGTATTTTGATTTGGTTCCCTGTCCCCATCATGCGCAGGGTGGTTGTCCGGGCTGCTTGCACTTTGGGCTTCTATGCCTCCTACTGGCGCCTGGTTCCGCTCATCTACATCCTGGTGATGTTCGTGGCAGTGCCGGGCGTTTGCTTGCTGATTTCCCTGCTTTATGGTTCCAGTGTTGCTGGCGGTGTGGTTCTCACTATCCTTGCCGTGACGGTTGTGGCGGCCTTTATCTACTGGTGGAACTTCATGGGCGGCTGCTACAAGGTGGTCAGCAAGGAAGAGCGTGACGCCCGCCAAGCCGAGATCGAGGCAGAGATGGGTGATGCACCAAAGGAAGAACCAGCAGCTGAAACCGCGGTTTGAGCCGATGGCCTACCGGTGGCCGATCTTTGTTGGCTCGCGGCTCGCGCAGAGAAAGTCTCGCGCGAGAGTTGGCAGCTGTGCACGCCTATGGAATTGACTGAAAATCGAGGGCTAATTGCTAATAGAAGGGAACCGGTCTTTCAAAGAAGGGAACAGCTCTTCCATACACAAGATAGCCTGAACTTGTAGTCGATTCCATCTGAGCTACGAGAATTCATTGGGAGTGGCAGTAGGTTGCTTGCGCGTTGAGCCGCCAAGCAGAAAACCCAGTCAGCGTCGTGACGCCCGCCAAGCCCAGATCGAGGCAGAGATCAGAGATGCACTAAACGAAGAACCAGCAGCTGAAACTGCTGTTTCAGTCGAGAGTTTGCCGATGGCTGTTCCTTGAAGGCTCGTGGACTCGTGGCTCGCGCAGAGAAAGTCTCGCGCGGCGAGTTGGCAGCTGTGCACACCTCTGGAATTGACGACTACTCCAGTCTTTCTGCTAGCCATTGCTGCAAAGGTTGCAGAGGGAACAGAGTTCGTAGTCGATTCCATCTGAGCTTGATTGAGAGTGGCAGCAGGTTGCTTGAGCGTTGAACCGCCAAGCAGAAAACCCAGTCAGCATCGCCACTCTAGTGTTTTAGGTCCCTTGAATTTTAATGCCTGCTGGATTTTGAGTTGGCTAAGAGCCTACAGCAGCGGACCTTTACCCCTGAAGGGAATGGGCGTTGCACGTCTGAAGCAGGCCTGTGCTGGCTACAGGCGATCAAGCAAACAATGTAGAATAGTTAAGGGTGCCAGCCCAACGCATACAGTTCTTGTGCTTGTTTCCGATGGCTGCTGTTACTGCCTTCTACTGCGCATGCTGAGCCCTTTGACGTCTCGTCCGGTCGTCCGATCCGTTCAACGCACATCGGCCGAAACCTGTGTTGGGGTTTGGGTGTGCTGGCCGCTCAGGACTTCCCCGCCTTTTTTCTCCACAAGATCCGCATTGGGCTGGGATCTCAGACGGAGAAGACAGGGTAGCTTCAGTCCAACGGCATGATCATTGCCATGAAGCTGTCAGTTCTGATGGCCATGGCTACCCATGGCCATGGTTGGTGGGACCTGACATGTCCTGATCTTTCTTGTAGCGTTTTGGGCTCGTTTTTGCCAGTAAGCTCCGCTCGCCGCCGCAAAGGATCCTTAAGCGCGGCTATGGCTGAAGAAAAGGAGCAGAGTGCTGGGATGTTTGCTCTGATGGTGACCTTGAAGATCGTTGGAGTCCTCATCGCCCTGTACTTTTTCCTCTTCGGTCTCGACCTTATGGGTGGCTCCTTCAGTGCTCTGGGCAGCAAAGGAGCCGGAAACTTGTTCACCTTCTCTGACAATCCTATTGCTGGCCTCATGGTGGGCATCCTGGCTACTGTCCTGGTGCAATCCTCGTCAACAAGCACAAGTATCGTGGTTGGTTTGGTCGGGGCTGATGTGTTGGCAGTGAGGTATGCGATCCCTATCATCATGGGTGCCAACATAGGCACTTCCGTGACGAACACTATTGTCACTTGGCTTGCTTCTGGCAGATGTCGGGATGGATCCCAAAGATCACAGATGCATACGGTGAAGCATCACAAATGCCCCTTAACATTACGGGACTGTTTCAACCAGTTGCATGGTTTCCGTGTGTTTTTGTGATTTGGAGAAGACTATTGTGACCAGAACGATCTCAGCGAAACCAGGTCAGCATGGCCCATGCAGGGGACCGGTTGGAACTGGAGCGAGCCTTCTCTGGCGCCACAGTGCACGACATGTTTAACATGCTCGCAGTCCTGACTTTGCTTCCTGTGGAACTGATCATCGCTGCTATCTCCGGAGAGGGAGGCCTGCTGTACTGGATCTCCAAAGGATTGACGGATGCCGTCATGGGAGATTCAGAGAACGACTTGACCTTTCCTTCTCCAACTAAAGAGATTGTGGGCCCCTTCTCCAAGCTGTTCCTGAACAAGGACAAAAACACCATCAAAGCCTTGTCCTTTGGCGCACCTACGGCTCAGAGCTGTGGCACGGGCTGCACAAAGTACTGTGTGAGCTCAGATGTGAGCAAGGCCTGGCAGAAGGTTGCAGAAGATGCCTACGCATCCACCCTGACGGCGTGCACTGGCGCTGTAACTTGCGATTCGGGCACTTGCTACACAAATGCTGGGGACTTTTACACAAACAACATCGAGACGGGAAGGACCATCAAGGGTGGCTTCCTGAAAGACGTTGGTGACGTTGGAGGTGGCATCATTGGACTCATCCTGTCGTTGATTGTGCTTTGCGCAGCCCTGTTCTGCCTGGTTAAGCTTTTGCACAGCCTTGTGATGGGCCAGGCCAAAAAGATCATCATGAAGGGCACCAACATGAACGACTACTTGGCCATCTTGGTGGGTCTGGCAATCACCATCCTCGTGCAGTCGAGCTCCGTCACAACGTCGGCTTTGACTCCCTTGGTTGGCATTGGAGTTCTGCCCGTTCACAAGATGCTGCCCATGACGCTGGGAGCAAACATTGGTACGACCATTACCTCCATCCTTGCAGGCAGGGTCCAAACTGGGGAGTGTATGGAAATAGGCTGCGGATGTAGTTTTTGAGATAGCCACAGCAATGTTTGTTGGGATTTGCACACGGGGCATGTTCGAAGCGGTTGACCGGCTTTGTAGAAGCTCGGTTCTTTAGTTGAGCAACCCAGTGGTCCTGAAACAATCGGACGGCGCAGTGGATTGTTAAAGCACGTCTCTTCTAAACGCTGCCAGAGCTTGTCCTCTTGTCCTCCCGCAGGGCTGGCCGTCATGAAGAAGAGCAGCATCCAGATTGCTTTCTGCCACCTGCTGTTCAACCTCGTTGGTATTTTGATTTGGTTCCCTGTCCCCATCATGCGCAGGGTGGTTGTCCGGGCTGCTTGCACTTTGGGCTTCTATGCCTCCTACTGGCGCCTGGTTCCGCTCATCTACATCCTGGTGATGTTCGTGGCAGTGCCGGGCGTTTGCTTGCTGATTTCCCTGCTTTATGGTTCCAGTGTTGCTGGTGGTGTGGTTCTCACTATCCTTGCCGTGGCGGTTGTGGCGGCCTTTATCTACTGGTGGAACTTCATGGGCGGCTGCTACAAGGTGGTCAGCAAGGAAGAGCGTGACGCCCGCCAAGCCGAGATCGAGGCAGAGATGGGTGATGCACCAAAGGAAGAACCAGCAGCTGAAACCGCGGTTTGAGCCGATGGCCTACCGGTGGCCGATCTTTGTTGGCTCGCGGCTCGTGCAGAGAAAGTCTCGCGCGAGAGTTGGCAGCGGTGCACGCCTATGGAATTGACTGAAACTCGAGGGCTAATTGCTAATAGAAGGGAACCGGTCTTTCAAAGAAGGGAACAGCTCTTCCATACACAAGATAGCCTGAATTTGTAGTCGATTCCATCTGAGCTACGAGAATTCATTGGGAGTGGCAGTAGGTTGCTTGCGCGTTGAGCCGCCAAGCAGAAAACCCAGTCAGCGTCGTGACGCCCGCCAAGCCCAGATCGAGGCAGAGATCAGAGATGCACTAAACGAAGAACCAGCAGCAGAAACTGCTGCTTCAGTCGAGAGTTTGCCGATGGCTGTTCCTTGAAGGCTCGTGGACTCGTGGCTCGCGCAGAGAAAGTCTCGCGCGGCGAGTTGGCAGCTGTGCACACCTCTGGAATTGACGACTACTCCAGTCTTTCTGCTAGCCATTGCTGCAAAGGTTGCAGAGGGAACAGAGTTCGTAGTCGATTCCATCTGAGCTTGATTGAGAGTGGCAGCAGGTTGCTTGAGCGTTGAACCGCCAAGCAGAAAACCCAGTCAGCATCGCCACTCTAGTGTTTTAGGTCCCTTGAATTTTAATGCCTGCTGGATTTTGAGTTGGCTAAGAGCCTACAGCAGCGGACCTTTACCCCTGAAGGGAATGGGCGTTGCACGTCTGAAGCAGGCCTGTGCTGGCTACAGGCGATCAAGCAAACAATGTAGAATAGTTAAGGGTGCCAGCCCAACGCATACAGTTCTTGTGCTTGTTTCCGATGGCTGCTGTTACTGCCTTCTACTGCGCATGCTGAGCCCTTTGACGTCTCGTCCGGTCGTCCGATCCGTTCAACGCACATCGGCCGAAACCTGTGTTGGGGTTTGGGTGTGCTGGCCGCTCAGGACTTCCCCGCCTTTTTTCTCCACAAGATCCGCATTGGGCTGGGATCTCAGACGGAGAAGACAGGGTAGCTTCAGTCCAACGGCATGATCATTGCCAGGAAGCTGTCAGTTCTGATGGCCATGGCTACCCATGGCCATGGTTGGTGGGACCTGACATGTCCTGATCTTTCTTGTAGCGTTTTGGGCTCGTTTTTGCCAGTAAGCTCCGCTCGCCGCCGCAAAGGATCCTTAAGCGCGGCTATGGCTGAAGAAAAGGAGCAGAGTGCTGGGATGTTTGCTCTGATGGTGACCTTGAAGATCGTTGGAGTCCTCATCGCCCTGTACTTTTTCCTCTTCGGTCTCGACCTTATGGGTGGCTCCTTCAGTGCTCTGGGCAGCAAAGGAGCCGGAAACTTGTTCACCTTCTCTGACAATCCTATTGCTGGCCTCATGGTGGGCATCCTGGCTACTGTCCTGGTGCAATCCTCGTCAACAAGCACAAGTATCGTGGTTGGTTTGGTCGGGGCTGATGTGTTGGCAGTGAGGTATGCGATCCCTATCATCATGGGTGCCAACATAGGCACTTCCGTGACGAACACTATTGTCACTTGGCTTGCTTCTGGCAGATGTCGGGATGGATCCCAAAGATCACAGATGCATACGGTGAAGCATCACAAATGCCCCTTAACATTACGGGACTGTTTCAACCAGTTGCATGGTTTCCGTGTGTTTTTGTGATTTGGAGAAGACTATTGTGACCAGAACGATCTCAGCGAAACCAGGTCAGCATGGCCCATGCAGGGGACCGGTTGGAACTGGAGCGAGCCTTCTCTGGCGCCACAGTGCACGACATGTTTAACATGCTCGCAGTCCTGACTTTGCTTCCTGTGGAACTGATCATCGCTGCTATCTCCGGAGAGGGAGGCCTGCTGTACTGGATCTCCAAAGGATTGACGGATGCCGTCATGGGAGATTCAGAGAACGACTTGACCTTTCCTTCTCCAACTAAAGAGATTGTGGGCCCCTTCTCCAAGCTGTTCCTGAACAAGGACAAAAACACCATCAAAGCCTTGTCCTTTGGCGCACCTACGGCTCAGAGCTGTGGCACGGGCTGCACAAAGTACTGTGTGAGCTCAGATGTGAGCAAGGCCTGGCAGAAGGTTGCAGAAGATGCCTACGCATCCACCCTGACGGCGTGCACTGGCGCTGTAACTTGCGATTCGGGCACTTGCTACACAAATGCTGGGGACTTTTACACAAACAACATCGAGACGGGAAGGACCATCAAGGGTGGCTTCCTGAAAGACGTTGGTGACGTTGGAGGTGGCATCATTGGACTCATCCTGTCGTTGATTGTGCTTTGCGCAGCCCTGTTCTGCCTGGTTAAGCTTTTGCACAGCCTTGTGATGGGCCAGGCCAAAAAGATCATCATGAAGGGCACCAACATGAACGACTACTTGGCCATCTTGGTGGGTCTGGCAATCACCATCCTCGTGCAGTCGAGCTCCGTCACAACGTCGGCTTTGACTCCCTTGGTTGGCATTGGAGTTCTGCCCGTTCACAAGATGCTGCCCATGACGCTGGGAGCAAACATTGGTACGACCATTACCTCCATCCTTGCAGGCAGGGTCCAAACTGGGGAGTGTATGGAAATAGGCTGCGGATGTAGTTTTTGAGATAGCCACAGCAATGTTTGTTGGGATTTGCACACGGGGCATGTTCGAAGCGGTTGACCGGCTTTGTAGAAGCTCGGTTCTTTAGTTGAAAAACCCAGTGGTCCTGAAACAATCGGACGGCGCAGTGGATTGTTAAAGCACGTCTCTTCTAAACGCTGCCAGAGCTTGTCCTCTTGTCCTCCCGCAGGGCTGGCCGTCATGAAGAAGAGCAGCATCCAGATTGCTTTCTGCCACCTGCTGTTCAACCTCGTTGGTATTTTGATTTGGTTCCCTGTCCCCATCATGCGCAGGGTGGTTGTCCGGGCTGCTTGCACTTTGGGCTTCTATGCCTCCTACTGGCGCCTGGTTCCGCTCATCTACATCCTGGTGATGTTCGTGGCAGTGCCGGGCGTTTGCTTGCTGATTTCCCTGCTTTATGGTTCCAGTGTTGCTGGTGGTGTGGTTCTCACTATCCTTGCCGTGGCGGTTGTGGCGGCCTTTATCTACTGGTGGAACTTCATGGGCGGCTGCTACAAGGTGGTCAGCAAGGAAGAGCGTGACGCCCGCCAAGCCGAGATCGAGGCAGAGATGGGTGATGCACCAAAGGAAGAACCAGCAGCTGAAACCGCGGTTTGAGCCGATGGCCTACCGGTGGCCGATCTTTGTTGGCTCGCGGCTCGTGCAGAGAAAGTCTCGCGCGAGAGTTGGCAGCGGTGCACGCCTATGGAATTGACTGAAACTCGAGGGCTAATTGCTAATAGAAGGGAACCGGTCTTTCAAAGAAGGGAACAGCTCTTCCATACACAAGATAGCCTGAATTTGTAGTCGATTCCATCTGAGCTACGAGAATTCATTGGGAGTGGCAGTAGGTTGCTTGCGCGTTGAGCCGCCAAGCAGAAAACCCAGTCAGCGTCGTGACGCCCGCCAAGCCCAGATCGAGGCAGAGATCAGAGATGCACTAAACGAAGAACCAGCAGCAGAAACTGCTGCTTCAGTCGAGAGTTTGCCGATGGCTGTTCCTTGAAGGCTCGTGGACTCGTGGCTCGCGCAGAGAAAGTCTCGCGCGGCGAGTTGGCAGCTGTGCACACCTCTGGAATTGACGACTACTCCAGTCTTTCTGCTAGCCATTGCTGCAAAGGTTGCAGAGGGAACAGAGTTCGTAGTCGATTCCATCTGAGCTTGATTGAGAGTGGCAGCAGGTTGCTTGAGCGTTGAACCGCCAAGCAGAAAACCCAGTCAGCATCGCCACTCTAGTGTTTTAGGTCCCTTGAATTTTAATGCCTGCTGGATTTTGAGTTGGCTAAGAGCCTACAGCAGCGGACCTTTACCCCTGAAGGGAATGGGCGTTGCACGTCTGAAGCAGGCCTGTGCTGGCTACAGGCGATCAAGCAAACAATGTAGAATAGTTAAGGGTGCCAGCCCAACGCATACAGTTCTTGTGCTTGTTTCCGATGGCTGCTGTTACTGCCTTCTACTGCGCATGCTGAGCCCTTTGACGTCTCGTCCGGTCGTCCGATCCGTTCAACGCACATCGGCCGAAACCTGTGTTGGGGTTTGGGTGTGCTGGCCGCTCAGGACTTCCCCGCCTTTTTTCTCCACAAGATCCGCATTGGGCTGGGATCTCAGACGGAGAAGACAGGGTAGCTTCAGTCCAACGGCATGATCATTGCCAGGAAGCTGTCAGTTCTGATGGCCATGGCTACCCATGGCCATGGTTGGTGGGACCTGACATGTCCTGATCTTTCTTGTAGCGTTTTGGGCTCGTTTTTGCCAGTAAGCTCCGCTCGCCGCCGCAAAGGATCCTTAAGCGCGGCTATGGCTGAAGAAAAGGAGCAGAGTGCTGGGATGTTTGCTCTGATGGTGACCTTGAAGATCGTTGGAGTCCTCATCGCCCTGTACTTTTTCCTCTTCGGTCTCGACCTTATGGGTGGCTCCTTCAGTGCTCTGGGCAGCAAAGGAGCCGGAAACTTGTTCACCTTCTCTGACAATCCTATTGCTGGCCTCATGGTGGGCATCCTGGCTACTGTCCTGGTGCAATCCTCGTCAACAAGCACAAGTATCGTGGTTGGTTTGGTCGGGGCTGATGTGTTGGCAGTGAGGTATGCGATCCCTATCATCATGGGTGCCAACATAGGCACTTCCGTGACGAACACTATTGTCACTTGGCTTGCTTCTGGCAGATGTCGGGATGGATCCCAAAGATCACAGATGCATACGGTGAAGCATCACAAATGCCCCTTAACATTACGGGACTGTTTCAACCAGTTGCATGGTTTCCGTGTGTTTTTGTGATTTGGAGAAGACTATTGTGACCAGAACGATCTCAGCGAAACCAGGTCAGCATGGCCCATGCAGGGGACCGGTTGGAACTGGAGCGAGCCTTCTCTGGCGCCACAGTGCACGACATGTTTAACATGCTCGCAGTCCTGACTTTGCTTCCTGTGGAACTGATCATCGCTGCTATCTCCGGAGAGGGAGGCCTGCTGTACTGGATCTCCAAAGGATTGACGGATGCCGTCATGGGAGATTCAGAGAACGACTTGACCTTTCCTTCTCCAACTAAAGAGATTGTGGGCCCCTTCTCCAAGCTGTTCCTGAACAAGGACAAAAACACCATCAAAGCCTTGTCCTTTGGCGCACCTACGGCTCAGAGCTGTGGCACGGGCTGCACAAAGTACTGTGTGAGCTCAGATGTGAGCAAGGCCTGGCAGAAGGTTGCAGAAGATGCCTACGCATCCACCCTGACGGCGTGCACTGGCGCTGTAACTTGCGATTCGGGCACTTGCTACACAAATGCCGGGGACTTTTACACAAACAACATTGAGACAGGGAGGACCATCAAGGGCGGCTTCCTGAAAGACGTTGGTGACGTTGGAGGTGGCATCATTGGACTCATCCTGTCGTTGATTGTGCTTTGCGCAGCCCTGTTCTGCCTGGTTAAGCTTTTGCACAGCCTTGTGATGGGCCAGGCCAAAAAGATCATCATGAAGGGCACCAACATGAACGACTACTTGGCCATCTTGGTGGGTCTGGCAATCACCATCCTCGTGCAGTCGAGCTCCGTCACAACGTCGGCTTTGACTCCCTTGGTTGGCATTGGAGTTCTGCCCGTTCACAAGATGCTGCCCATGACGCTGGGAGCAAACATTGGTACGACCATTACCTCCATCCTTGCAGGCAGGGTCCAAACTGGGGAGTGTATCGAAACAGGCTGCCGATGTAGTTTGTGAGATAGCCACAGCAATGTCTGTTGGGATTTGCAAGCGTGGCAGGTTCGAAGCAGTTGACCGGCTTTGTAGAAGCTCGGGTTCTTTAGTTGAGCAACCCAGCGGGCAGTGGTCCTGAAACAATCGGACGGCGCAGTGGATTGTGTAAGCACGTCTCTTCTAAACGCTGCCAGATCTTGTCCTCTTGTCCTCCCGCAGGGCTGGCTGTCATGAAGAAGAGCAGCATCCAGATTGCTTTCTGCCACCTGCTGTTCAACCTCGTTGGTATTTTGATTTGGTTCCCTGTCCCCATCATGCGCAGGGTGGTTGTCCGGGCTGCTTGCACCTTGGGCTTCTATGCCTCCTACTGGCGCCTGGTTCCGCTCATCTACATCCTGGTGATGTTCGTGGCAGTGCCGGGCGCTTGCTTGCTGATTTCCCTGCTCTATGGTTCCAGTGTTGCTGGCGGTGTGGTTCTCACTATCCTTGCCGTGGCGGTTGTGGCGGCCTTTATCTACTGGTGGAACTTCATGGGCGGCTGCTACAAGGTGGTCAGCAAGGAAGAGCGTGACGCCCGCCAAGCCGAGATCGAGGCAGAGATGGGTGATGCACCAAAGGAAGAACCAGCAGCTGAAGCCGCTGTTTGAGTCGATGGCCTACCGGTGGCCGATCTTTGTTGGGGCTCGCGCAGAGAAAGTCTCGCGCGGCGAATTGGCAGCTGTGCACGCCGATGGAATTGACTGAAAATCGAGACTAATTGCTAATAGAAGGGAACCGGTCTTTCAAAGAAGGGAACAGCTCTTCCATACACAAGATAGCCTGAATTTGTAGTCAATTCCATCTGAGCTACGAGAATTCATTGGGAGTGGCAGTAGGTTGCTTGCGCGTTGAGCCGCCAAGCAGAAAACCCAGTCAGCGTCGTGACGCCGCCAAGCCCAGATCGAGGCAGAGATGGGTGATGCACCAAACGAAGAACCAGCAGCAGAAACTGCTGTTTGAGTCTCGCGCAGCGAGTTGGCAGCTGTGCAAGCGTCTGGAATTGACGACTACTCTTTACAGTCTTTCTGCTAGCCATTGCTGCAAAGGTTGCAGAAGGGAACAGAATTAGTAGTCGATTCCATCCGAGCTTCAAGATTTCATTGAGAGTGGCAGCAGGTTGCTTGAGCGTTGAACCGCCAAGCAGAAAACCCAGTCAGCATCGCCACTCGACTGGTTTTGGTCCCTTGAATTTTAATGCCGCTGGATTTTACATTGGCTAAGAGCCTACAGCAACGGACCTTTACCCCCGAAGGGAATGGGCGTTGCAAGTCTGAAGCAGGCTTGTGCTCAGGCGATCAAGCAAACAATGTAGAATAGTGGAAGCGGCAGAAGCACTTAAGGGCGGCAGCCCAATGCATACTTTTCTTTGTGCTTGTTTGTTGCTGTTACTGTGCATGCTGAGCCCTTGGAGATCTCGCCCTGGCAGGCTAGTGGGTGACAGCTTGTGTGCACCGGGGTTGGTGCCGGCAGCGCGCCCGGCACTTCTGTGCTACTTGTACGGTCCAGATGTGTGTGCAAAGACACGGGTGGAGCAGGGATCAGGGCCATGGTGCTGGTAGGGTGAGGTCAGCATGATATCCATCCGTTCAACGCACAGTGCCAAACTGCCCCCAGCCTTGAAGCCCGAAGCCTGTGTTGGGGTTTGGGTGTCCTGGCCGCTCAGGACTTCTGTCCCCTTTTCCTTCACAAGATCCGCATTGGGCCGGGATCTCAGCCATTCATTCCAATCCCTCGACAGGTGGCTTAGGGAGGAGCATCGAAGGACGGCCCACATCGAGACGAGCAGTCGTGCAACCGCTCTTTGGGCACAAGGGGAGCGTCTTTTTTCCAGCTGCAAAAAACATGCGGAGACGAAATTGGAGACTAGAGATGGCTAAACGTGACCAAACTTCTCCAGGGAGCAGCGCGAGCCCATCAAACCCAGACCCTGAATCCGAGAAGCCAGGAAGACTGACCCTGAAGCCTGTACGGGCCAACAGTTGCTAAAACCATCTAAGCCCCCCCCCACGTTGCCGCATCGGGGGCTCTGTGCGGGGCACCCCGACGTTCTTCAACCTCCGCGGAGAGGCAGCGCGGCACGTGACGCTTCGTGTGTCCAGGGATCACTGTTCTTGTCGGAAACAGAAAAGTCGGGGTTGCCGAGGTGCACATCAAAAAGCCGGCCGTCAGGTCGGCGGCTGCGGCTCCCCTGGGTGCTAGCGCTGCTACCATGGCGGCGAAAAGAAGTTGCACTCAGGGGTGGAAGTGCTCGTGTTGCTTGGGTCACTTGGGTCTGCTTGAGACGGGAGATTGTGGATGATAGTACTGCCAGCTGACCCGGAACTTTGTTTTGCTTTGAACTGCAATTCCGACCTCCCGCGCTCGTCGTGTCGTATACCTTCGGCTTTTGAGGGTCGAGGCTCGTGTTGCCTCTGCTTACATCATTCCGTGCTGCCGGTAGCATGTGGTTATCTGTGTCTAGCCTTTCCGGCTGGCTGGCAGTTTAGGGTGAGATCCGGTATCAACACGCAAAGAGGCAACAGTGTTGCCAAGTAACTTCCCCCCTCGCAGCAATACATGCTTGGGCTCGAAGCTTTGCGAGCTGTTGTATGACCCTTAGCGCCGCTTTCGCGCGGCAGCTGCGAGCAAGGCGTGGCTGCTGCCACAGTGTTTTTTTGTGCAAATGGGCTGGCAACTTTGAGTTGCGAGTTGCGAATGCTTGCAAAGGCTTATACAAAGTTACTGTTGCAGCATGTTGCCGCATGTTGCATCACGTCCAGGTCCCAGGGTGCCCTGACCCAGGTCCATGCAGGCATCTATCCAGCCGCTGGCGGCGCGGCGGGAGGCGAGTCTCGATGCACTTTGCGTGTAGAGTGGGTGCCGGGCATGCGGCTGCAAGCTGCCTCGTTGAGTTCTTCGGCATCTTCACCAGAAGTGCCCTGGGACCTAGCACGAGGTCGCCCGGAGCAGTGCCGCGCCACGTCTGGCAGAGCCTTACCGGAGGCCCGAGCCGTCAGGATTTTCGGCCCATTCAGGGCTTGGTCTGAGTCAAGGGTTCTGTTGGGCCCAAGCCTCTAGATCTGAAGAGCCAAGACTTTACACCACAGCCCGATGCCGCGGGGCAGAAGGCTGGCGGCGCCTGCCGATGCGGCGACTCCGCGGGCGCCTCGCGCGGCCCTGGCCGCCGGAAACCTCAGCTTGAGGGTCAACCCTTTCTCTTGCCATTTCGCGGTGCTGCCGAGGGTCTGGTCGGCGCTGTTACGCCGAAAAAAGTAGTATAGATTTCGGAGGTTAAGGAGCGTTCAGGGTTCCAAGTGGTTTTGTTTAGCGGCATCCCCACAACCCACATGGCTCCTGATCGCAGGCTCTCGCCGGCTCTGCCGCAGGTAGCGCCCTCCGGCGAAGAGGGCCCGGGAGGCTCGGTATGTTCTCCCAAGCCTTCTGCCAGTATCCCTCCATGAGCCGATCCCCAACTTCATTCGGCTCCCTAAATCCCAAGCCCCTTCGCTTTGTGTTGCTTTGTGCCTGGCCGGTGCGCGGCATATTCGTCGCGGTCCTACGTCTCATACGTCTCTGAGGACTCTTGAGGTGACACAACAGATGTGCAAAGCCAGCAGCTTTGTGTTTAACATGTTCCAAACACCCCTGCCGTTAGCACAGCTTGTTCAGCTTGTAGATCCGCCAAGTTGCTACGCATCTTCCAAGTGTGCTATCGTTGGTGTGTCAGACCATGAGGAAGGTCCGATGCCGCTCTGGCTGCTGGGCCCTCGCCCTTTGCACCCTGGGCATAGGTCGGATTCTGCCAGACGTCTGCTTCGCACCGGCCTCAAGGGTGCCTCGCACGCTTGACACACGGGGCACGCAGCGCCGCGCGGGCCTGCAGCCGCCGCAGCTCGTTGGCGACAAGTCCGACCCGCCTGTGGAGACGGGCCGGAACCCGCAAGCCGTGGCCACCGAGTTCGCCTGGGGTATCGTGCTCCTGCCCCTGTCAGTGCTGGGCCTCGTCGTCGCATACCTCTTCAGCGGCTTCCTGAGCGCCACGTCGCAGCCGCCGCCCCAGGTGCCGCTGTCGGAGTCGCTGGCTGCCCTGATCTCCATTGAGGACGACTATGCGGCCCGGGGCCCCGAGACTTGAGCTGTTCTTTGGCCCTACCCAATCTACCCTCAGGCCCTAGAAGGCTGGTGAGAAAGGAACGCTTCTCATAGGAGGCGAGAGCATTCTTGTTGTCAGTTGCCCCAGTATGACTAAGTGGACGTGTTTGGGCCCAGAACCGCAAGAAAAAGTGCGAGAGTGAGGAGATGGGACTCCGCCAGCGCCTAAGCCGCTGGTTCCACTGGGCCGAGCCCAACCGACGCGTCGACTTCGAGATCAAAGGGCTCCCAAACGGCCCTTTGAAGGACCGAAGCGAGAGGGGTGAGAGGGGTAGCCGTAGAACGAAGGCCGGCCAGCTAGCTCGCCGCCACTGGACACGTGAACTTAAGATGTGCTTAGATATGTACTTTCCTTAAGTTCACACGCCCCTTCAAGCCTTCAAGGACAAGATCCGGCAGCGTGGTAAAGATGCTGCGGAGGACATTGCCATGACCGTCGAGTACTTCGTGGCCGGCAACGGCATCATCGACGACTCTGGCTCCTCCCGGATGGCCGACCGCATCGCCCAGGACGAGGCCTCGCGGGGCTACCCCGAGGCAGAGAAGTTCGCCGAGCCTTGGGGCATGCTTATAGTAGCATTCAGAGACAGAGAGAGAGCTGTAAGTCGGTTGTTTGGGGTAGCTTGGGCACTGATGGTCCTGCAACGGGTCGACAAAGCTGAGTCTCACGGCAGACAAGGTGTGCAGAGACATAGCAGCAAGTGGGGGCGGGTAAGGGGGCCTCTTACAGGGTGAATTTAAAGGGGGGCAGGGAACAGAGTCTCTCACACCACCGTCGCCCACCGTACCTTCGGTCCACCCCGATCCGGGGCGGGCGATGACGCCCGGGGGCTTCGGCCCCCACGCCCTCCGAAAGAAAGAAAGAAAGAGAGCCTACCCCTCAAAGCAGTCGCACCCTGCTCCCCCCCCCCCCCCCAAAAAAAAAAGAAAAAGCAAGAACAAAATACGCCTTTCAACACTTCAACTCTCCAAGGAGAAGGCTCTCCATGAAGGGCGGAAGGCCTTGTCAGAGACCGTCTCGCTGCTGCAGGAGGCAATGGACAGTCAGGAGGAGGAGGAGGAGCCCATGGCCGAGGAAGCCGAGGCTCCCGAGTGAGGGTGGAGGCGCGCCTCCCCCTTCCTCCGCTCCCTCCGCTCCCTCCCACCAAGCAAACTGAAACCCTAAGACCCCAACTCACCCCCGAACCTCAGATTTTCCAAGCTGCCGGGCAGCCGAAGACCGCGCGCCCTGACCAGCAGTCAGAGAAGGTGACCGCGACCACAGAAGTCCCGTCGGGCTGGTGGAAAACGAACACACCCCCCTGCATCCCAAAGGCTTCGAAAGCCTCGCGCTCCCTTGAACCCTTTTCAAGCTTTGAAAGCCCCGCTGTAAAGACCTTAAAACCCCCCCCGTTACCTGAAGCCTCCAGCAGCTCCTTTCACCTTTCAACCCCCTTTGGGGCTTTGGGCTGAGGGTTTGGGGTTTAGGGTCTCTTAGGGTCTCTGAGCGCATGCAGCACAACTACCCCTGAGGCCTGGAGCTCAAGCTAAGCATGTAAGCATCCCTCGCCTCCAATCATCCGGTCCCTGCGCCTGGATAGCCGCAATCTTTAGACCCTAAACCGAGCACCGAGACACTATCGTCGACTCATGCCGCCAAATTTCTGAACCACCTCCCGCCAAACCTTTGTCTGTGGACTCGGCGCTTGGTGTATCCTCCCGGAAACCCCGCTGCCAGGCGCCAGTCCACGGTGGCCGCAGCGACGGCAACACTCGCGCCGGAGGTCATTTTTTTTGTGGGGGGAGGGGGGGGGGTTGGGGTGGGAGGGGGTGATTTGGTTCAAGCTCCAGGAGATGTGGGGGCTGCTGTATGTGCAAGTTGTACTCACGTCGCAGACTGCAACCGAAAGGGCGCACTGGAGTTGCCAGTTTCGTCGTGGTTTGAGAAATTAGGCCTATTGCAAGCCATGAGTAGAGAGTTGTGAATTTGGCTTCATTCCTGTTCTCGGCTTCGAGAGGCACACCGCAACCCCGAAGACTGCCGAGACCCGAACTTTGCACCCTGATCATTGATCCCTTCGCCGGAAAACCTTAGCCACCACAAGCGAGAGTGTCTTCCAGGCGCCCACGGAGATTTTCCGCAAGGACTACCTTGCCCCGCAGCTCGGCGGAATTTTTGGCGTCCAGAAGTCCTCCTTTAGGAACAGCACGTTTCATTCTTAGTGGTTTGGGTTTGTGTGGGACCTGGGATTGGCTGGGAAGCAGGCTGACTTGCACATCCGGGCTTGGGAGTTTCCTCAAAAACCCATGAAGCCCTTCAATCAATGCGAAGCCCCCGTGTCTCGATGCAGGAACTACTGGATCCGAGAGGTCCGGCTCCCAGTCGATTGTAGCACAGGCCTTTGGGGGTGGTTAGGGTTTTCCAGGGTTTAAGGGCCCCAGAAGAAGCCCTAAGTGCTCTGAAACTCTGGCCCAACATTCCAGCAACTTACAACCCAGGCACCCAACAACGCCCTGAAGAAACCCCTGCCCTAAACCCCAAAGCCCAGAACCTCAGGACCCTCCCCTCCGTTCCCCTCCATTCATTGGCCCTACCTCAAATTGCAATCCTTTTGAAAGGTGGACCTTACAGTTCGGATCTTCGAAGGTCGCACGGAGGCCGCCCCGCCATTTGAGAGGGCTTCGGGGGACTGCAGGTTCAGGTTTTGAGGGGGCAGAGCCTTGAACTCCCACAAGATACCCCACATCCCATAATTCGCCAGAGGACCACGAAAATCCAACTTTGAGGGTTTACGGTGGCAGCGTGTTCGATTATTTCGATTGCTGTCGGAACAGCTTGTTGTCATGCCGGAAGGAGAGGTATCACCAAATTTGCTAACCTGGCACGGAAGGCTTAACTGCCTGAACCCAACCGAATGCGGCCTTGCACTCCCATCCCCCCATGCGGACAGGTGCTCTCCCGGCTACGGCTAGAGCCGCGCAGCGGCGCACCTGGCACTGACCTGACCTTGGATGGCGAGGTGGGGGAAGTGGGGGGGGGGGACGAGAAGTTGTGCGGTGGTCTACTTTCAGGGTGTTCACCTAGCACCAGGGATGAGGGTCAGCGCAGCCACTCGGCCATCGTGCGAGCTGGAGTCTCAGGGCTCGAATAGGATTGAAGTGGATTCCGGATGCCTTTCGACTGGGCCCTTAAGAGCCCTTTCCTGAAATGAGCGGAGAGCTCTAGAGAGACTCGAGGACCTGAAGCTCAAGAGTGTGGCTGTGGGTGGCACGGCCCTGGCGGAGGGAGATGGCCTCCTGGCGCGAACACAGACTCTGGCGGTCTCTCCGTATTGTCCCCGGAGTAGGAGCCTTCAGGATGCGGGCCCCCAGCTCCCAAACATCATCTTTCTGGAGGCTCAGAACCAAAAGCTGCTGAAAGCTGCTGTGCCGGAGTCTACAATTCAATGCGTTCTTTAGAATCTTGCACGAGTAGAGTTTCCTCAACACACGTCCCGAACCGAGGCTACACCGTCGAGGCTGAGAAGATGCGACTTGGCTGCTGGGGAGGCTGGGGAGAGGCCGGAGTTGGTGCGAGGCTTCCTGCGGCTTTCGGGTGCGTTGGGGTGTGGGGGCCCCTGTATCATACTACTTAATCTTGAAAAGCTGTGATGCAGCCACACGATTCAAGACACATCTATTCAGTTTAAGATCGATTCTTACTCTTTTTTCTGTCTTGTCTCCGCCTAGGGTCCGAGCTGAAATCTCAAGCTTGTTGTACTGCGGCAACCCCGGCTTAATTTCGATGTCATTTTCCATCAAAGCGATCAGGCGGCAGCTTCGGGTCAAAGCCCATGTTCGTTGAAATCCTGTTTGGGCCGATTGCTTTCTGGCGAGACCCTCAATTGGAGAAGGCCCTCAATCGACGCAAAAAGCGCCTCCATGAAATGCCATTTGCAGCTAATTCTCCCCCCCAAAGCAGTGTAAGCCAAAAGCGGAAAGCTCTCTAAGAGCACTTCAGAGCACGGCCAGCGACATGCAGGGGGCGCACGGGCAGACCGCACCGTGAGAACAGCAGCGCGAAACCCATAAAAGCGGTCGGGCCTCGAAGATGAGAGATATGTTTTAACAGCCCGCGCTGGAGTTTCAGGGTTCTCAAGAGATGCCGAGGACAGTGGCAGGCAAGGCGCTTGAAGCAGGCAACGGGGGGACCTTTGCTTCTGTCCTTTGGGCGCTCATAGGCTTCAAGAGTGCAGAGTCAGAGGTGCAGGGCAGTGGGATGGCTTGAGCTTTTCACGCTGCCTGAAACCATCTGAACCCGCAGCAGGCGACCCTGACAACCTCTGGCTCGAGATCGAGGTTGAAATCGAGCCGGAGAAGAACACCCAGCTGCGTGAGATGGCAATAGAGATCACTAAACTTGGGTTTAAGGGTTCGCGTCCAGGCTTCGTACAGTAGTTGCGCGTTTTCCCCAAAAGCAGTCGCTTCATGGTGCTACCCCGAAGCCTAAACCCGATAGCAGCCCTACATGAGGCACGCATGACCCTACATGACCCGATAAACCTTGGCAGATCCTCGAAGCCTTGTACAGCTCGAATCCCAGGCTTGGGAGGTTCAAGGGGGGTTTCGGGTTTAGGGCCTCTTGAAGACCCTGATCGAAACGCCTTAGGCTCTCCGGCCTGTACTACAGCGGCAGCATGTACTGCTCGCAGATGGAGGCCGAAGGCGGCGGAAGTGATCATCACAAAGAAGGACCATGCCACAGGTAGCCCTCAGCTCCCCCCAAATCCCTGACATCAACTCCAAACTCTTACCATTTCCACCCTTAACCCGGAAGCCCGGAAGCCACTCCGCCACTTCATGCAGGCTTCCGGCGCTTCACCTATTTCCTGGACCGCCCAGACGTCATGGCCGGAGGGGGGATGGGGGGAGGGGGGAGGGAGGGAGCCATCCCCGAGTTGATGACCCTGAAACCCTAAACTCCCGAAAGCCTTGGGCCTTTAAAAGTTCCAGAGGCCCTAAACCCTAAACCCTAAACCCCGAAAGCCTTGGGCCTTTAGAAGTCCCAGAGGCCAAGTTCACGTCGGTGCGCTTGGAAGCCGACGAGACGACCTGCCCCATCCTGCGCCGCCCGCGAACTTTTCGGGGGCACAACTGGCAGAATCCGTGCTGCCAGTGTCTCTATATATACAAAATCCTGTATTTATTTAGCTATATACATATATACATATATATATATGTGGCAGGAACCTTTATGTATGATATGACCTTTTAATTGTTCTCCACACACAACACACCCACACACGCACACTTTGTTCCTTTCTTCTAGACGAGATCGTTGCAAAAGGGGGTTCCCCCCCTAGAGCAGGGTTGAGCCCGCTCATTCCTTCCATTTTGCCTTCTTCATCCTCCGTCTCCTCTTCAACCTCTTCTTTGGCTTTTTCTTACAAAGGAGACAGGAAAAGCAAATGGCAGACTCCAGTAATTCTCCCTCTGTTGCCTTCTTTCTCGTGTTCCGACGTCTTCTGTTCCGTCTTCTATTCGAGTAGATTGAAGGGAATATGTCGGTAAAAGGTGTTCACCCTCCCGCAGCCTCTTCTTTGGCTGTGTTCTTACAAAGGAGAAAGGATAAAATGCAAGAAGATGAGTCAAAATAAGACAGGTCAAAAAGAAGCAAACTGACGATCAGAGAGAGGGAAGAAACAATTGTTTTGTGAGTTGCAGAAAGGGGCTCCCTCTTTTCCTGGAGCAGGGTTGATTTCCTGTGTTCGCTCTCATTTGCGTTCTTTCTCTCCTGCGTGCCTATGTCTTCTGTTCATGGTTTGAGGAGATTCAAAGGGACAGATAAGAAAGGCGAAAAAGGTTTCCCTGTCCCTTTCGCTGTCCTTGATCTTAAGAATCTTGTCTTTTCTCAGTCAGCAAGAGAGGACACAGTAGAAGGGAAACAGCAAGGAACGCTTGAAAAAAACAACGGATACATAAGAGGAAGAAGAAGAAACTCCCTCTCCTCTCTTCTCGATCTTGTTCAGCTCTCTTCTTGCAGATCATCTCCTACCTTCATCCTTCGCATCTCTCTCTCTCTCTCTCTCTCCCTCTCTTCTTTGTTCCTTTCTTCCAGACGAGAAGCAAATGGATAAGACGAGATGGAAAGAGACATTCTTTGCTTCGCTGCAGATTGTGGGAAGAAAACAATGAGTTTAGAATCCAACAGTAGACTGCTTGGGGAACAAGGCTTCCCTTTGCTCTTTTTGTGAAAGTCGGGCGTGCGAAGAAATTCCCCCTCCCCTCTTATCCCTGTTCTATAGTCTATCTCGTTACAGAAAGACAAATACATATACAAGGCGCCAATTTCAGTCACTACTCATCCTGCCTCGTCTTTCTTTTCCCACTTCTGTTGCGCTTTTCTTACAGCAGGAAAACGGAACATGCAAGAATGCACATGAGGCTCGCCACCATCATCCTCGCTCGTCTCTCTTATCTCCCTTCTCTCTTCTTTGTTGCCCACCCTCGGTGTGGGGTTTGATTTTGAACTCAACTCTTCTCCTTGCCCGGGACTCTTCTCCTCGCCCGGAACTCTTCTCCTCGCCCGGTCTACTCCTCGCTCATCCCTGGAGCGCCCAACCCCAAAGTGTCCCTGGAGTGCCCAACTCTAGAGTGGCCCTGGAGTGCCCAACCCCAGACAACCCCAGCCCAGCCCCAGAGTCTCCCTAGGGCGCCCAACCCCACCGTTTCCAGGAGTGCCCAGCCCAGAGTCTCCAACCCCAGAGTTTCTGGAGGCCCAACCCCAGAGGCCCAACCCCAGTGCCCAAACCCAGAGTCTCCCTGAAGCCCAAACCAGTGTCTCCCTCGAGAGCCCAGCCCCAGAGTGTTGCTGGAGTGCCCAACCCCAGAGTATCTCTACCAAGAGAGGGTGGGGATGTTCGAAGCCAAATATTTTCTTACACACGTGACAAATGAATACACAAGAGGACAAGGAAAAGAGAAGTTAATGGACGGGAAAAGAGGGGAGGATGGATTGCTTTTGTTCGTGGCAAGAAGGGAGGCCGCTGAGTGCCCTTACACCCTCTCTTTGCTTTCTTTCTCTCCTGCATTCCCAGGTCTTCTGTTCTTTTTTGCTTAGGAAACTCAAGGGAACTGCAAAAAAAAGAGGAAGACGCTTTCCGTGTCCCTTTTCGTTGCCCTTGCTCTTTTCTTTTCTCATTCAGCGAGAGAGGAAGAGACTGCAGGGGGGAAACAATAAAGAATGGACAAAAGTAGGAAGAAGTTTTCCTTGTACCTTGTCGTTGCCCTTGCTCTCTTCTTTTCTCGTTCAGCGAGAGAGGAAGAGATTGTAGGATGAAAACAGCAAAGAATGAACCAGAGTGCTTCTCTCTATTATCTTATTGAGAAGAATGAGCGCATAAGACTGGGAGGAAACGCACTCCTCGCTTTTCCGTCTGCTTTGGCTCTTTTCTTGCATACGAAACAAATGAATACACAAAAAGACATGAAGAGACAACTGGGAGAAAACGACAAGGAGCTGACCCGAGTGCTTGTCTTCTCTTACAGGCAAAATAAGACAGGTCAAAAAGAAGCAAATGGACTATCAGAGAGAGGGAAGAAAACATTGTTTTGTGAGTTGCAGAAAGGGGCTCCCTCTCCCCCTGGAGCAGGGTTAATTTGCTGTGTTCGCTCTAATTTGCCTTCTTTCTCTCCTGCGTGCCTATGTCTTCTGTTCATGGTTTGAGGAGATTCAAAGGGACAGATAAGAAATGCGAAAAAGGTTTCCCTGTCCCTTCCGCTGTCCTTGATCTTAAGAATCTTGTCTTTTCTCAGTCAGCAAGAGAGGAAGACGCAGTAGAAGGGAAACAGCAAGGAATGCTTGGAAAAAAACAACGGATACATAAGCGGAAGAAGAAGAAACTCCCTCTCCTCTCTTCTCGATCTTGATCAGCTCTCTTCTTGCAGATCATCTCCTACCTTCATCCTTCGCTTTCTCTCTCTTCTCTCTCTCTCTCTCTCTCTCTCTCTCTCTCTCTCTCTCTCTCTCTCTTCTTTGCCCGACTTTCACAAAAAGAGCAAAGGGAAACCTTGTTCCCCAAGCAGTCTACTGTTGGATTCTAAACTCATGGTTTTTCTTCCCACAATCTGCAGCGAAGCAAAGAATGTCTCTTTCCATCTTGTCTTATCCATTTGCTTCTCGTCTGGAAGAAAGGAATACGACAGGGCGAAGAAATTCCCTCTGCCCTCTTATCCCTGTTCTGTAGTCTATCTCGTTACAGAAAGACAAATACATATGCAAGGCGCCAATTTCACTCACTACTCATCCTGCATCGTCTTTGTTTTCCCACTTCTTTAGCGCTTTTCTTACAGCAGGAAAACTGACCATGCAAGAATACACGTGAATCTCGCCACCATCATCCTCTCTCGTCTCTCTTATCTCTCCTCTCTCTTCTTTGCTTTCTTTTACACGTGACAAATGAATACACAAGAGGACAAGGAAAAGAGAAGTTAATGGACGGGAAAAGAGGGGAGGATGGATTGTTTTTGTTCGTGGCAAGAAGGGAGGCCGCTGAGTGCCCTTACACCCTCTCTTTGCTTTCTTTCTCTCCTGCGTTGCCAGGTTTTCTGTTCTTTTGTGCTTAGGAAATTCAAGGGAACTGCAAAAAAAGAGGAAGACGCTTTCCGTGTCCCTTTTCGTTGCCCTTGCTCTTTTCTTTTCTCATTCAGCGAGAGAGGAAGAGACTGCAGGGGGAAAACAATAAAGAATGGACAAAAGTAGGAAGAAGTTTTCCTTGTACCTTGTCGTTGCCCTTGCTCTCTTCTTTTCTCGTTCAGCGAGAGAGGAAGAGATTGTAGGATGAAAACAGCAAAGAATGAACCAGAGTGCTTCTCTCTATTATCTTATTGAGAAGAATGAGCGCATAAGACTGGGAGGAAACGCACTCCTCGCTTTTCCGTCTGCTTTGGCTCTTTTCTTGCACACGAAACAAATGAATACACAAAAAGACATGAAGAGACAACTGGGAGAAAACGACAAGGAGCTGACCCGAGTGCTTGTCTTCTCTTACGGGCAAAATAAGACAGGTCAAAAAGAAGCAAATGGACTATCAGAGAGAGGGAAGAAAACATTGTTTTGTGAGTTGCAGAAAGGGGCTCCCTCTCCCCCTCTGGAGCAGGGTTAATTTCCAGTGTTCGCTCTAATTTGCCTTCTTTCTCTCATGCGTGCCTATGTCTTCTGTTCATGGTTTGAGGAGATTCAAAGGGACAGATAAGAAAGGCGAAAAAGGTTTCCCTGTCCCTTCCGCTGTCCTTGATCTTAAGAATCTTGTCTTTTCTCAGTCAGCAAGAGAGGAAGACGCAGTAGAAGGGAAACAGCAAGGAATGCTTGGAAAAAAACAACGGATACATAAGCGGAAGAAGAAGAAACTCCCTCTCCTCTCTTCTCGATCTTGATCAGCTCTCTTCTTGCAGATCATCTCCTACCTTCATCCTTCGCTTTCTCTCTCTTCTCTCTCTCTCTCTCTCTCTCTCTCTCTCTCTCTCTCTCTCTCTCTCTTCTTTGCCCGACTTTCACAAAAAGAGCAAAGGGAAACCTTGTTCCCCAAGCAGTCTACTGTTGGATTCTAAACCCATTGTTTTCTTCCCACAATCTGCAGCGAAGCAAAGAATGTCTCTTTCCATCTTGTCTTATCCATTTGCTTCTCGTCTGGAAGAAAGGAATACGACAGGGCGAAGAAATTCCCTCTGCCCTCTTATCCCTGTTCTGTAGTCTATCTCGTTACAGAAAGACAAATACATATGCAAGGCGCCAATTTCACTCACTACTCATCCTGCATCGTCTTTGTTTTCCCACTTCTTTAGCGCTTTTCTTACAGCAGGAAAACTGAACATGCAAGAATACACATGAATCTCGCCACCATCATCCTCTCTCGTCTCTCTTATCTCTCCTCTCTCTTCTTTGCTTTCTTTTACACGTGACAAATGAATACACAAGAGGACAAGGAAAAGAGAAGTTAATGGACGGGAAAAGAGGGGAGGATGGATTGTTTTTGTTCGTGGCAAGAAGGGAGGCCGCTGAGTGCCCTTACACCCTCTCTTTGCTTTCTTTCTCTCCTGCGTTGCCAGGTTTTCTGTTCTTTTTT